CTCTCTCTCTCTCTCTCTCTCTCTCTCTCCGTGAGGACTATTACATACTGTAAATCCGCCCAGATTCCCCCTCCAGACATCCAGGGGTTCTGTAGTGACCACCGGTCAAGCCCTCAATCGTCTGAACGTGGGGACAGGGACTTAACCGAGGAGATTTGGGCGGGGAAATTCGGCCAGGCAGATTTATCTCCCCGTGCCATGACCTATCCTTTCGCAAGGGGACATAATCGGATGACGATGCTCTGTGTGCGGTTTTTTCTTGGATCTTTATTTTACTGTTGAAAACTTTAACAGCCTGCTAGACCTAAACCAACCCACTCCCGCCCCATCTTCTCGAAACAAACAAACACACCCCAAACCACACAAACAAACAAACAAACAAACAAACAAACAAACAAACTAAAGGACAAACAAGCAAATACACAAACAGTTATTTTGACGAGCGCCTGATTTCACCACGATGCTTCATGAAGAACTATGATTAATTCTCTCACGTTACGTCCCGCTCTCACATAAAGTACAAGCATTTATTAATCATAATACCCTGTCAACTGATCATAGACTTATCATACCCCTAGACCATCTACTGTCATGGCCACCGTTGTTCTCTGTCAACAAAACAACCCCCCAAAAACTTCAATAAAAACTTATCTGACAACAAAATCTTCTCCGTCAACAAAAACTCCCCTGTCAACAAAAAACAAAACCAAAACAACCCCCCAAAACTTCGATGTCTACAAAAACTTCTCTGCGAGACGTGCGCACTACGGGCCGCGTAAATTACGCCTAAATGAAAGAAAATTTTCGAGGGTGGTTGGCGGGTGCTCTAGTGTGGATTTCTACTTCTTTCCTATTAAACATCGTTCATTCTAATTTCTCTGTCCTCCCTTTTATCGTGTTTGGTTACTCCAATGTAACACCTGTAATCTTCGGAACTTATAAATGATGACCTTATTGAGGACAATTTTAGCTCGCTATTGTCGAGTGCGTGCGACACCGTCTCTCACCCCCCCCCTCCTTATTGCCTTTCATTTAGCTCAAACTGAGCCAAATTGAGCACTCCACGGTGAGCTGGGAATACTTCCGAGGAGCTCATGGCGTAGGCTATCATTAATTAGTATAGAACAAGTCTATGCCATGATTAATGAAAACGAAGTACTGCCCTCCTATTCTCCCTCTACTCTCCAATTCCAGTCATTTTGTCTTCTCAGAATTACAATGCTTAGTCAGATTCAGGAATAACCTATTAACCTGCTTGGTACTTGAGCTTTGTTATAAGAAATAGCATCCCTAATCCCCTTCACAAACCCATGATTAATCACACCGTATCTACAAAGATCCAACATGTCCTTCACATCAATTAAAACGTTGCATGTCGTCTTGTCAGGCTTTCATTGCTCTGTGTATTACGAGTATAAGAAATCCATCCATACTGCCGGAAGTTCCGGACTTAGATGTCTAGATGATCAAAACCATAGACTTGGATGATGATAAATGACTATCATAGACTGTACACTGTCATGACCGCCACCCTTTGTGCTCTCAATGAGATATTAAACTCTGACCCGTGCGCAATTTGGGAGCCCAAAATGAACGCCATGCAAACAACAGTTTTGTAATGGCCAAGTGCGTGCAATCCGCCCCCCCCCCTCCCGCCCCCAAACCTCGAGTCATTCATTTTGCTCCAAATTGAATCAAATGTCGCGTGCACCGGATATACGTCAGGACACTTGGTCAAGGATACTATAATAATACAAATCCATGATTGAAACAGATTGGTGCTGATAGTTTGGGGAGAGGTATTCCACGTCTTTATGATTAAGTACTTGAGGAAACATTGAGGACGCATTCAGCTGTGAATTAGGTTAGTAGGTATGAACTGGATATAATATGGGTGAAGGTTTAGCTGGTCGATTGTTGCCGATTCTTTGATGGTGTTGTTGTTATTTTGTTGTTGTTGTTGTTGTTGTTGTTGATATTGTTGCTGCTGCTACAGTTATAACAACAATAATAACAACAACAACAACAACAACAACAACAACAACAATAATAATAATAAAATAAT